TAAGCTGTGCCAGGGGAGGTTTAGGTTAGATATTAGGAAGAAATTCTTTACAGAGAGGGTAATAAAACACTGGAATGGGCTGCCCAGGGAAGTGGTGGATTCTCCATCCCCGGAGATCTTTAAGATGAGACTGGATGTGGCACTTAGTGCCATGGTCTAGCAACCACAGCATTGTTGGATCAAGGGTTGGACTTGATGATCTGGGAGGTCTTTTCCGACCTGGCTGATTCTATGATTCTATGATTAGGTTAAGTCATAGGATGTATTGTGGGTTGTGGCAAGGTTTAAGTAGTGTGGTGCCTTTTGGAACATATTTAAGAAAGGTTCAAAAATGTTCCACATCAGTGTCAGAATTGAGGGAAAAAACATGAGAAATAAAACTGTGAACACCAAGGGAAGAGAGAGAAGAAGAAGGAGGAGATCATCCAGGCACTGAAGCATCTGTGGAGGAGACAAGGCTGGAGCAGTTATTTCTCTGCAGACCGTGGAAGAGCCACACTGAAGCAGATATCTGTGCTGCAGCCTGTGAAGGACCCCACACTGGAAAGGTGGAACTCTCATAAAGGAACCATGGAGGACTCCCAGTGGAGCAGTCTTATCCTAAAAGATTGCAGCCCATGGGAAAGTTCTACAGTGAAATAGGAAAAAAAATGTGAGGAGAAAGGAGTGACACAGATTAAGTGTTATGAACTGACCACAATTCCCATTCCCCATCCCACTGCACTGCTCGATGGGGAGGAGAAGGTAGAGAGGTCAGGAATAAAGGAGTGGTACTAAGTCTGGGAAAAAGGGAGGGGTGGAGGGAAGGTGTTTTAATCTGTCTTTCTCACTATGTGAGCCTGTTTTATCTAGCAGCAAAAAAAATTAATTTTCCCCAAATCACTTCTATCTTGCCCACGACAGTAATTGCCAAGTGTTCTCCCGGTCTATATCTGAACACACAGATTTTTTTCATCTTATTTTGTCCTCCTATCCTTTTGAGGAAGGGTTGTGAGAGAGCAGCTGGGCGGGCATGTGGCAGATGGCAAAGGTCATTCCACCACATAGATAGACTGAACTGGCATTATAGCTTTGAAGTAGTACAGGGCACCTAAAATATATGCTCTCAAAACGGAACCTACTCATCACAAGTACAATTCATTTATACCCTTATCCAATATGCTTTTAAGATATGACCAGTTGTTTCATATATTTAAAAATAAATTACACGTGGAATTACAACCTAAAGTAGATTTTTTTCTAATTCAGCTAAATACTGAAATGCAAAAGGGGTTTATCATATTGTCACCTAGATATCACGCTCAGATTTACGTAGTTTTTCATGCAAGGTCTTAGAAGGTTTATCCTAAAAGTTAGTTATCAACTAACTTAGAAGATGGTTATCAACCTAGATATTTCATTTTCTTTTATTATCTGTATATCCCATATCCTATCTTCTTTATAGACACACAATAGCAGCTTCAAAGGACTCATTGCCTGTTCAGCTTTGAACATATATTCTGTTATTCTGTACACTTGGCAAATATTGTCAAAAACTTTCGAAGTCCTACTGAGTTTGTGCACAGCTAGGAATATAAAAAAAGAAACCACAGAAATCTTATGTGCAGAATGTTATATTCTTGTACATGAAATGTTCTTTGTAAATCTAATATGCTAATGTGCAACAGATAAGGAGCATATTTTGGAATGGATAAATTCAGATGTAAAATGCATTTTTAAATAAATTCAGTGTCCTGCATCAGGTGGAAATGTGCTTTCACAGTTAAGTGGTTATATATATATTTTTCCCTCTATTTGTGTGAGTGTAAATTTGTACACTACAAGAACTAGAAGTGTACCCTTCTTGATTTACAAGTGGGTTTAGTATTATTTCAACCTTATTTTTAGTTAAATTTATGTGTACATACTAAACATACAAAATGCTGAACACTCTCCTATTTGTCTTCATTCCAGTATTTAGGAACATATTATGCTTCTAGGTATAATGCTTGTGGAGAGTTTTGGAAAAGAGCTCTACCAACACCTCCCACAAAAGACTGATTAAGTGGTTCAGGAAATTGCAGGTCTGAAAAAGTCTTCCTTGACTAAATGAATCAACCATAAGCATTTACCACTGTCAGAAAATTAGGTTACAGATGATATAAGCCAGTTTTCTGTGGAATTCCATTCAGGAATAAGTTAATTTTACATTTGCTGCTTTCTTTAAGTTGTAGTGACAATGATAAAATATCCATGATCAACAGTGGCTTCAGCTTTTGAATCTCTGGGATGATTTGAAATTACTTTTTGTTTCTTTTCAAGTTGTTCCAATGCATGCCTGGAGCCCTCATTAGAGTGATCTTCATGCAAGGCCTGCCCGCTTCCCAGCTATCATCCACCTCCTGCTTTCCATTTTTGTCTATAGTAAAGCTGCATCCGGCAAACCCTTGGAAATACATGCTGTGGTTACTAATTACTTGGGCTGATTTACTTAGTTATGTGTTCCAGCACAATTAAGTCCTTTCTTTCCCTATTGTATCTGCCTCATTATTAGTTATAATGGTGACATTTATACTGTAAATGGGATGGAAGCATGAAAGGGAAACTGTGTGTAAGGATAGGACCGTTGTGCAAGGGATGAATAAGTACTGAACTGTTAAGGCTAATTGTAATATAAGAATATGGCTTCAAAGGTTTTGTTTGTATTGTCTTCAAAATATTTTTGAGGAAGGGTTTCAAGGTTATAGACCCACCCACAGCTGTGTTAAAATATGTGTGCAGATGAGCACAGGGATAATAAGCAGTACATAATATGAGGTATATTTCTATGAAATTGCATGTATTTAGAATGTCTAAATAAGAATAAAGGATTATTTCTCAAGGGAATGACATTTAAGAAGCAGACAATAACAAAAACAAAATAATGAAAATGCATTTCAGGGACTATACTTTGGCAAGACAGTTGGCTATCCTAAAATAACAACTTATAGAGTAAAATTCCAGCCACACTTCTATTTTCTGAAAATTCAAGTTTATAAATTACTTGTAAATATGTGTGGGTAGATATTTTTTTAACTTATGTTTCTCTCTCCATATCAATTATCAAAAAAGAAAAGTGATACTTAGATATTCAGTTGAAGGAATCTGCCCTCCACTCTCTCTCCTCCACACCCCCTCTCCACACACCCCCAAAAAAAGAAGTTTTAGTTTAGTCCTAAGACTTAATTTAGTAGTTAGGGAGTGTCCAGATATTAAAATACTGTATCTTTCTGATACACAGATGTGTTTTAACGGAAGAAAAAGCAGCTTGATTCCTAGCTTACCCCTTTGTCAGATGCCAAATCTTGCAACCGAATTTTTCGTTGTATTTTCTCCACACTTGGCTTTTTCTTAGCTCTCCTATCACCTCCACATTAGTTGACTTCACAGAACTTGATTTTAAATACTAGCAGCCACGCAGAAGAATTATTCCAGAGAACCACTTTTCTTGTTTGTTTCTTTGTAGCATCTTATGACTTCTAGAACTAGTTCCATGAACAGTTATCAAGAATTTAGCTACATATTTCAGGAGAGGACAGGAGTAGAAGGATGGCTAAAGCACTCCATAAAATTATTGTTTGTCCTGCACTCAGAGATTTCCTGTGTCATATCAAATAAGTCTGTCATCTCACAGTGGTTAAGAGGGAGATACCATTATTAAGAAAGTGAGGTTGCACATTAATAGTTTTTAGATAGCATCTCTTAACAGGAGATTTGATCAGGTTTGTATTTAGTTCTGGAATTTCAGAATTGTATTTTAGGGATAGATTTGCATGCTCCTACATAGTATGTTGCATTGCCATAATACTTAATGTGAGAAGAAAGACTTCTTGGGTTTGACAGTGGAAGGAGTTGTGGAGGAAGAAAGACTCTCAATACAAAATGAAGATGGAAAAAGAAACACAAACCAGTGCAAATACTGTTGCAGTGAATAGTATCATTTACCAGTAAAAAAATAAATATCTTTGAGATGTCTTTCAAATAAAATTTTTCATATTAGAAAATATTCTAATATTCTTCTTGTTGTTGAGCTGTTTGCTGTTGGAATATACTTCATTGACTCAATAGAAGGAGAAAAAGCAAACATTTCATCATAAGGCATCATCTGGTAAACACTTTAGGAGGAGAGGTAATATCAAATCTTAGTTTTGAAGCTCTGCCTGTAGTCAAATCAAGTTAAAAGTAAAGGCTAAAACAATCATAAACAACATTTGTAGACCATCTACTGTTTAAAATTGAAGAGGTTTCCTGCCATTAAAAGACACAAATTTTTGCTTTGAAAAAAACCTGCAGGATTACTGTATTCACCGTAGATGACTGTTCTTTTTTCAAATGAAGGTTCCAATTCCAAACCACCAGAGGTTTTTGATGGAAGAAGCTCACTATTAATCTGCGGACTATGGTTGATTCAAGAGCGAATAGGATAAACTAGTGTGACCTGACACTGCAGAGAATGTAGTAGAAATGTTACTTGGCTTATAATCCTGAAATAGTTCCACTCTTCATCTAAATTTTAGATGAAATAGTCTCTCACTCAGTGTCTCTAGAAATATGAACAAGGGTTAGAATAACTTTTGAAGAAGTCACAAATTACAAAAGCAAAACAAACAAGATTTTTGGAAAGGATAGAAGAAACCACTATGGAATATGCTTGCTGGTAAATAGCTCATTTTCACAATGCCACATAGTTGCATATTTTCCTTAACTGGAGTTATTCTTCCTTGAGTTTTCTTTGGTTTTATTTCTATATGAGAACTTCCTTCTTGAACTACTTGTTCCACTGTTCATTTTGAATCTTGTTCTTCTTGCAGCCATGACAGATGTTTTCCTGACATTTTAGCTCTTATTTAATTCACTATAAAATTTTGGGATTAATTTCTCTCAGATGACCCTCTAATACTCTGGCAATGCCTAACTCAATCTGCCATTCTATATATCTTTCCAGAATTTACTGAAATGGTCTCAATTTTTTTTTATTGTAGGTTTCATATATACTGGAGAAGTTGTACATCGAATGCTAACAGCTACCCAATATATTGCACCCTTAATGGCAAATTTTGACCCCAGTGTATCAAGAAATTCAACAGTCAGATACTTTGATAATGGTATGTAGCAGTCCTTCACAAATGAATGTGTCTGTATCCCTTGACTCTTCTTATTTTCTTAACTATTTTTGAGAGAAACATTGAAGATTTTTTAAAATTTTTTTGGTTCTTTTTTTTAACTCCCAAGCTGTATAAAGGATGTAACTAGACATACATAAACAGTTCTTAATTTAGAAAGCAGTTAAAGAGTCATGAATGCTTTTTCCTTATCAAACAGATATCTTCTGGAGGTTGAAGTGCATCAACTCAAACTAGCAATGCATTTTATCAGCTTTAAAAGGAAAAATCTGTCTTGTATAAAAGTGTAAGTTCCTGCTATTTCAAAATATATATATATAGAGAGAGAGAGAGAGAGAGAGAGTAAATACCATTTACCCACTACCTAAAATGAAAATAGCATTTGTGGAATGCAATAGCAAGAATACACGGAAGCAGGGCAGGCAAAAGGTTAATAAACCTGTCAATGACTAAGTGCATGGAGTCCCAGGATTGGAATCCAGGACATTCATCTACACCGTGAATTCTCAACAGTTCCTTGTAAAAAAGATTGAAAGAGTAAAAGGCTAACTGCAGTGTTATGCTTGAAACTCTGTGAGATATTTCAAAGGCCTTGAATGTGTGGATATTTTTCTCTTGAATTCAGTTATAATCGATATTTCAGAAACGTAATCCATGTGGTTAAAAGGCAGTGACTGTCTATTCTGAATTTAAAACTTAGACAGTTTAGTATCATGACTTAATATCATCAGATCCATGATTTTTAAATCTTCCTGGATACGCATGGATTAATCTGTATGTTTATTTATAGTGAATTTAAGCATAAATTTACAGCATGTTCAAAATATATTGTATTTCCAACCAGGTGTGTTACTTTTTGTTTTTTAGAACAGTGATCAATATGCATTGTATAACTTTTGTACCTAGTCATAACCTAGTCATAACTACAATCTAGTCATTGCAGCATATGTTTGTTAAAAAACCAATAAAATACTTACATGAGAAAATCCTACTCCTTACATGAAGAATTTCAAAGAGAAAAAATATAATTTTGATTTCATAAATTATTTAACATTATAGCCTGAGATTTTTCATCTTTTCTTAAAGAATCTGAGGATTCTGGGGAAGACATTGCTAATTCTCATTGCATTCCAGACTTCCAATCTTCATATGAGGTGAATCAAGCTGTATCACATGGCTTTCATGACAAGGTTAAACAATTCTTTGAGATTTTGGATCCCCCTTCACGTGTAAGGCATGATCTTTTGAACTCCATGTGCTTTAGGACAAAGAATTGGCTATCTTACCACAAATAAAAAGGAACTGAGCAGATTGTATCTTCAGCACCTTATTTCTTACGTCCATGTTTTCTCCCCATGAATAAGTGTACTGCTTTACAGCAGCATCTGTAGTAGGCAAGCACAAAGCATGGGGTCCATCAAGGTCTTGCTGACAGAGCTTACTGCAAGGAGTTTAGGCACACACAAATCTTCCTAAAAGCCCTGGGAATGAGATGACAGTTTTGGTGGCAGATGATTTTCATTTTTGGGTAGGGGTCTGAGATGCACATAGATCTGAAGTACTCAAAGACCAACCATAAGAAATTCTGTCTGTTTTTATTCCAATAATTTTATAATTAATAATTATATATTAAAATGTAAGTATTATAATATTATTATATAATACATATATTTTTAAAAGTCAACCTACCTTTAAATAAAATTTAATACAATCATAAATAAATATTCAGAAAGCAGTTAATGAGTGTGGTCACAAACCAAAAAATGCACTGTGTGTACAATTAATGAATATGTACTACATCTATGAAAGACACAAAAGACAATAATGTGCTGGACTTAGTGCAGTGTGTACCCAAACTTTCTATGCTCATAGTTTCACCTGCCAAGATGTGTTCATGAGATTTACATCACAGAAGATTTGTGACAAAAGATGTTTCAAGGATATATCAAAAATATTTTGAGCTGGGTACATACTGAGTCATCATAAACACTCCAGGAAAAAAGGAAATTAAAGTGTGAATCAAAGCACATGACTCCACTAATGCTGAAGAGAGAAGTTGTTGAGGAAGCCGTATAAAGACAAAAATGTTGGTTTTCATAAACACAGTTTTAGTGATAAGTGTCTTTCAGTCAAGCTGCTTGAAAATAACCTTCAACATCTATAAAACATGCTCACAGGGTATGCAAGTTGCTTGGGGTACATTTTTGCTGTGGTAAGTGGATATTCAGCTAGTGAACTCCCATGAATATTAACAAGCCTCTTGCAACTAAATCTCTGCATACCAGACTCAATATTTACCCTATGCATGAATTCTTAGTGAGTTTGATTTAAACTACATTTATTTAATGCAAAGACCTAACATTTTTCAACTTGCAGAACCTCAGCAAGGACTTGCACCATGCAGAAAATAGTTTATGCTATTTAATTAATGCATAGTTAATGGAAGAATTCAAATTCCTCAAATAAGAACTTTTACTAAGCAGGTGATGCTATTAGCACTTCACATTTCAAAGTCATCTGGGTTTATGTATATGGTGCAAAAAAGCCCCTGCAGAGAAGTGGTAATGGCAGCACACCTGAACTCTGAGTGCTGGATCCTACCTTTAGTGATTGTTGATTCCAGACACTTTACTTGACCACTCCTGCTTTAGCAGTAGTCAAGGTGCTTATGTGTGGCACTGTGGTGTCTACTTGTAAGAGGATTTCAGTTAGACTTGAGTTTTTAATATCTTTGGCATTTCAAGGTGTGGAGCTGAAAGTTGACAAAAAGAGGCTAGTCACTGTTCTTGTTTCAAGTAACTGAAGTTAAGTACTTTTCCTACAGTCAGTTAATGTATTTCTTACATTTTTTCTTCCCTTTGCCTCTCTACCCCCGCTCTGGGGTTCACAGGCACAGCACTAGTTGTCCAGTGGGACCATGTACATCTACAGGATAATTACAACCTGGGCAGTTTCACTTTTCAGGCCACCCTTCTCAATGATGGGCGTATCATTTTCGGCTACAAAGAAGTAAGTCGAGTCTAAAAATTATCATTTAAGTGGACAAATTATATCTACCAGGATTTTCCCTGTCAGGGAAGGGGGAAGGTATTTTTTTTCCGTGGGGGGAAGGTATTTGAAAGATCAGCTATAAGATCATTTCATTATATTGTTCATAAGATCACTATTTTGTTGAAAATAATGTTTTATTGTAAAAATGTTGTTCATATGATGGACTTAAAAACCATCAACATGACTCAAATGTGTTACTCCTGGATTTCAACTGGACTTTTTTGGGTGGTTGTAAGTGTTGAGTGTTTAGTAAATTCTTGGGGTTTTAAGTAAATTCCTCTTGGGTTTTAAAAGGTAGGGTCTAATTTGCCCAATTAATTCACCCAATTTTGACCTATTTGAAAATACTCTAGAATCAATGGTTAGTATTAAAAGGTCACCTTTTTCCTGCAGCTGCCATTTCTAGCAACTCACATATTTCAAAGTTCATATATTTCAAATGAGAAATAACTGGTTTGTATCACTAGATCTTTGAGGTTTTCCATCTGTTTGGTGATAAAACTGCTTAGATTGAGGCCATTTGGTTTGGCTTTATAGCACCAATATGTTGTATTGGATGGCTTCTTCTGCGTTCTCCGGGTGTTTCAGAATTCCAGTTGTTGCTTTAGGTGATTTTCTTTTCTTTCTTGAGTTCTGGAGGCTGTAGCCTAGTTGAATTTTGGTACTTTTGCCAGGAAATGTTGGAGCAGATGATCCTTGAAGTCCCCTTTCAGCCTGGTATTCTATGATTCAATGCTTCTGTGATTCATGCAAATGAGAATCAGAAAGTAGACAAGCTCAAATCTCTAGGGTCAAAGAATTTCTCTTTCTTTCTTTCTTTCTTTCTCATTAGTTTGTTTTGGTTTGGTTTTTGATTTGGTTTTGTTAGTTTAATCTCAGTTTGGCATGCAAACTGTGACTTTCTCTTTAAGATGTAAGTCTCTGTTATACTCCTTATGGTAAAAGAAATGTAATCAGTGATACAACTGATTGTCCAGCCTTGGAGAAATCTGTTTTCTTTTTTCTCTCTGATGTATTGTAGCCATGCACCTTTAATGTAGCAGAAATAATAACACTCTATCCCCTTCACTAGAAAGCTAGAGAGGATCTGGGTTAGTCTACTAGCAGCAGTCATATCTTCACCTCGCAGCCACATCTTTGCACCTTGCAAACAGAATGCTCAATCTGTTTTGTAGAAGCAAGAAACTTCTGGTATGCCCACATACCTGGCTATCCTTTTCTTATAAAAGACATGCTGATGCAAGGTCTGCTTAGATTCTTTTCCTGAATGTTAGGTACAGGCTAGAGTCTTCACCTATGAAAATGCAGTTTCTTTGCATTTTGAATCCAACTTCATGTAAGCTTTACTCTACATAGTACTATAGAGCTTATGCTTGATCAAAGAATTGTGGACTAGAGCTTCATTTATCTCCTGTTATTGAAATCTTTTCAAAGAAAGGCAAAAACTTCTAAAGATTACTGAAAGTTTCCTGCCTTCAAGACCCAGAGAGATTGGGAGGGACAGTACTTCCACTTGTAATTTTAAGATAATTTTGTCAAGAACTGTGTATGCATTCAGACATTAAAATGGTGACATTTTCAGGAGTCTACTATTCTCTGCCCTCTCTGTTACTCTCCAGCCCTGTGCAAAATGAATTTAATGTCAGTGATACTAATTGCTGCTCTAAACTGAAAGTACCTTGCATTCATTTTGCATAAAGGTAATTGATGATGCGGAGTGTCAGGTAGTGGAAAACTTTATTCATTTAGGAAGAAGGAAGAAATGGGCCACCTCCTTTACAACAATTGGTTCCCTAGGATCGTATGCAAGTGTGTCATTTAATCTGTGGATAAACAATTTCTGTGCTACAATGGCACAGGCTGCTTGCTCTCATTACGGTACTGGAAGTTTCCTCCAAAACCACAGTGTTTTTGTGGGGAGGAGCTATGAATGTCCTTTTTGTTAATTTTGAGACAGAAAACTGGAATTTACAAATCAAATAATACTCTTTTTTCCTACTGCTGAATTTTTTAACTCATCCCCTTGTCATGAGTTATTCTTGTCCTGAATGGAATTATTAAACATCACTTTACAGCTATTGCATATAGCTAAGGAAAGAGACTTTTAAAATTATAATAGTAACACACTAATGATCTGTAAATCTTTTGACAAAAGATTTTTGTAAAATTTTAGAAAGTTAAAATTAGTTTATACCATTAGAAATTGCTTGGGGAATAGATTAGGAGGCTGAGACTTCCAGAAGACTGCTTTCTTTATTTACAGCTTTTACTCCATTACAACGACCTCAGCTTTTCTCCTAAATGTGGAAAACTAAATAAAATTGCCAATCACTGATCAGACACAAGTTGTCTGAAAAGAACAAACAAGACACTTACAAATTTAAACTTGATTTTAGTCTTGATACATCTGGCTAGGAACTTATTTACTTTCCAGTGCAGAATCCATTGCTTTCTGAGGAAGTCCTTCCTTCTGGAACCATTTCTCTTGCTGGTGAGTCATGTTGTCATTAAGTCCAGTAGGATTACTTATGTAAGTGCTCACTAGCACGACTAAAAGTTGCACAAGAAGATTTCTACTGTCTTTTTGGTGCCATTTTATTTTAGCATCACAGTCCATCAGAAATGACAGTGATGTATGGCAAATCTGCAAGGTCTTCAAGGCATTGTCATTGAAATCTTCAAGCTGAAGCACCATGTAAGAAATGTAGCAGACAGATTGCCAGTAACTTTATAAAGCATCCCATAGGGCCTCTACGCTAGTGACACATTTATCTTGAAGAATCTACCTTTAAAATAACTGTTTATACATTTGAGGGAGGTACAAGTAGGGACTTTTATGTCTAAAGCACTTTGGGTAAGTTCTACCTTCTATTTTTTATTTTTTCAAACCATTCGAGATTCCCCTTTTTCACACCCTTACTGCTCCCAAACAAGGTTTGCTACCTCATAAACCTGTTGACCACCAAGACAAGATCTCGGCTGAGGTTTGCTGAGTATGAAAGCTATTCTGCCCAATTTTCTGCATTCTGTTGTTTTCCCAGTAGAAGGCAACATGAAGTTCACAATTGTTATCCAAAATCTAGAACAGATTTTGAAAAAATAAACATTTAGAAAAGGAGTTGAATCGTCAGGATAGAGAAATATGGAGACATCAGAATATCTTTCGGAAGTGTTAAATGTTAGGAGAAGGAGCTGTATAGTCAAGTTTTCAAAACGTGAAAACAATTTGAAATATAGCAAGGTCCTATAGCAAGCAAAATATTTATTTATTTATTTATTTAGCAATTTACTTTGTTAACAGCGCACATACCTTCAATTTTAAATATCACTTTGCTTATGCTGACTGTTAGAATTCTGGCAAAGGGCCAATATGTCAGGAAACAGTTAACAAGAAAATTTTATTGATGCACCTCTACTACATATGAAATACATTACAGTGCAAACTAGCCAACAGAACAAAGTAGTAAAGAAAAATTTCTGTGAAGGCATATTTGTTAGGAATTAGTAGTGAATACTCATTTCTTATGTTCTAAATTTCACTCAAGTTCAATTCTCAAGAGTTTTGCTTCTAAGTGAACAAAATAACTGTTCTGTATAGTCTTTTCCCATTGATGCTTAGAGCTAATGTTCCTTAGAGTATCATTTTGTTTCTTTTTCTGTCAGTGATTAATACAGGAAAAAATAGGCAAAGGTACCACAGATCTTGTTAATCGTTTAGGGTATTTTTCTTAATTTCAGTAGCCTGAAGGCTTTCTTTCTTTCTTCATTTAAATAGTAATGACACTCTGTCTATGTGGTCATCCGGAAACCATTATTAAAGTTGAAATGCTTGTTCAAATTCCCAATATAAGAAGTTTGAAAAAAATTCTAAAAGAAACTTGTAGTATAATTTCTTTCTCTTGTGAAAGGGAGACAGAATTGAATGAAACTGGTAAAGTACTAGCACTTAAATAAAATTTATGCTCCTGCTATGTGTGGTGAAAATACACTGTTTTCAGAAACAAGACTACAAACTTTGTTATTGTTGCCTGAAAACTAACAGAAATTAAAAAAAAAAAAAAAAAAAAAAAACCCCAACAAAAAAAACAAACCAAAAAACAAACATCATCCTGATGGATGTTCTGCTTATGTTATATGTGCCTGGCATTTCTTTACCTCTTTTATTGTTATCAAAAATATTAACATGCAAACAGGATCTTTGATTTTTGAGGTTGTCATTTTATGCAATTTAAAACTCATGAGTAGGTTTCATGTAGTTTAGCCTGTGGAGTAATTAACAGCTATTTAGGAAACTGTCAGTGAAAACACTATATAGGCACTATTATGTTGTTCCTCATTATTATTTTGCAACAATCTCTGGTCTTTTACTCAGTTTTGAAGTGAGGCAGTAATTGCACCCTGCTTACCATTTCCTTCAGAATAAGGTTAGAGGCCATGATTTTCTTCCTTTTTGAAGGATGAGATTCTGGCATGACCTCAAAGTTGAAAAGAATTACTGGTCCCAGTGATAGATAGAATGCAGAATGAATTCTAAATACCTTTCTCCCCATTGTCAAGGTATATAATTCAAAATGTGGACATTAATGGCCTCAGTGCTAGTGTGCATTTATTCATAAACTAGTGACTTGTACAACACAAAAATTCATATTTTCTGTGGTAGAGCTAGCATACACTTTGGAATTATTCTAGCTAAAAAGTATTCTCTGAAGGTAATGCCATAAAATCACTGCCACCCATTAGCAATCACTTGCACATTCTTAACTTACTGTTCAGCTATTTCACATGTTGACCTGTTATGACATATCTTGCCATTCAGGTGAAGAATTCAGAACAGGAGCTATCTGCTTGCTACCAATGTTTTGCTCTAATTTTCAGCAAATTATTTTAATATTTACTACAAGTCTTCTGTCAAAAGGGCATGTTTCCTAATAGGCCAGCGTGTGGCAAAAGCCCATTTTATCTTGACATCTCATGTAAAGATTTCACCTGTAATATGGCACTCAGTAAACTCATTACAAATTTCTTTTTCCCACCTTAAAAAATAGATATATATTTTTGTAAATACAGGTTTAATTACACTAATTTTTCAGGAGAATAAGAGTGTTCCTGAATCATGGTTTCCCTTCTAGTTTGACTGCATTTCTGTCTGTATGACTGTTTGACACAGGCTGCCCTTCAGTTTGAAGTTGGCTAAAAAATATGATTTTTTTTTTTAAGCTTACACAAGCACTTGCTCCTAAACCCTATTTCTAAAACATATATCTAAACTTCTTTTATTAGACTGGACCCTACTATAACTTCCTTATTTGTTTTAGAAAATTATTCCACAAGTTCCTTACTCTCACTAGAATGCCCAGTAGAAGAGTGTGGACATCTTCAGGGATTTTGGCAAAATCTACTGAGTTATTTCTGCTAGGGAATTTTCTAATTTCTCCTGAACCAAGTTGAAATGAAACTAAATTTATTTTAAAAAATCCAAACCCAAAACAAAATCACCTGTGGCATTAGTACTGCAAGAATCTATTACTCCTTCCTAGGAGGGGTGAAAAAAAAAAAAAAGAGAAAAATTAGTTTGCTGTTTTCATAATTTTTGAGGGAAGTTGTTCAATAATTCACAAATTCATAACAAACATGTGAAAAGGCACTAGACTAAAAATAAAGGAGTCTTATTCAAGGAGATCTGAGTGCAACTTCCTCTGATTTACACTTACCCACACAAATTAGTATGATTCTTTTCATGCATCAGACACAATTTGTGCCTTGAGCTGCCAATTTTACCAGTATATTTTGTCACACATACTCATAATGCTGATTCCAACTACATTCTCTGTCCTTTCTTCATCTGTTGTTCCCTCCCTAACTTGGAAAAGAAACAGTCATTGCATCTTTCAAAACAGTGCTTTTTCTAACTTAATTTTCAATAATACCTCTAGAGTATCCTTGCAATTCCTTAAGACAGTTTCTTTGACAGCTAATGTAAGCTTTTCTTAGTACTCTGCAACTATGAATAATTCCCTTATTTTGTTTATATTTACATTCTGGAGAAAATTTATAGACTTATTTCTGATCTTAGTGAGTCTTTTATTTTGAAGAATTTGAAAATATGATTTCCAGCCTTCTTCTGTCGTATTCTCCAATAACTGCATCAGAGCTAAGCTGATATAAGCCAAATTTAAATTGATGTATTACTAGTATTTCCAAGCCACTTCTGTTTTTCATGTTGATTTAAGAATGTCTCATGACTTTTTTATACCACAGCAGATCATGTGTGCAAGAACTCCTAAAAAAAGTCGCTAAGTTAAGTAAAAGAAATGAAAACTTATTACAATGTTAAATTCAACAGAACCTACTTTTTGTGTTAGTATTCTTAAATTCAGCTTTTACTAAACAGTTATTGGTGTAATCAGGAAAAAGCATAACTAACTGGTATTTTCCAAGGAGAACAACTGCTGATGTTTAATTCAAGTACCAGAAGTCATGACATTAATTGACATGTAGACAGAACTGAATCTTCATTCACTGGAAAAAAGTAACCAGACTTTTTAGTTTGGCACTTTTCTCCTATGTGAAAAGTACTGGCTGACAGTATAATTTTGATAGTTTTACAGAGGTAAAGCCAGAGGAGGCTATTAGATTAGCTAAACTAACACCTTGGTTCTCATTTTCTTACACTTAATCCAATTCCATCTGTCTTCAGCTTAGTAATTTCTGGTTAAATGAAGACCAGCTTTGAAATATCAGACATCCAACTGTGATCTGAAAGCAGCAATGGGTAGAGAATCATAATTGTTCTTGGTTGTTTATCCCAGTGGTTAATTACATTCAGTTATAAAAGCGTGTAGCTTATTCTACTCTGAAGGTACCTGCCTGAAGTTTCCATCTTCTGGTTATATCCTTCTGTCCTAGAATAAAAAGAAGACCCTGAGTAATTTCTCCCTGTGGTAGTACTTGTTTATGATATCTAGCCAGATTTCCATTATCCCTTTGTTGTTATCAAAAAGATAGACCAAATAGAAGCCAAATAGATAGACCTCTTTAATCCTCCTGTTAATGTCATCTGAGAACTGAAGATTACAACATATTTTTATGACACTTTTAATCTTCCTTCTCTTAATTTCTTTTTAAGAAATATATCCTCTCAAAATCTGTGTAATGTATCAGCAATGATCTAATGTTCAGGTACAAGTAAAATGACCACCCCACTCCCAGGCTATATTTCACTGTTTGTGTAACCAAATATCATATCAATTAAGTTTTCTTTCTATGATATCCCTTCTGGCTGGAATTGTTCATCCAATACAATACTGAGGTTCCTTCCAGAACTGCTTCTTTCTAGACCATAGTCCCCAATCCTCTACCTCGTGCTCTTTTTTGTCTGAGTTACATCTTTGCAAATTTTACAATGTCTAACATTGCTAATTGATCCAGGCATTTCATTAATTTTACTCTGCTAGTGCCATCTGGAGAACTGCTAGGCATGAAATTTATGTCTCCTTCTCAGTCTTTGACAGAACTTTTGAATACTAGGTCTGATATCTGGAGAAGCAAGATATGCTGGTTTTGTGTTCAATAATAGACAAGAGGGTATCGCCTTCTTCTCCCTGAGTGTTACTAGCATATCATGCTACTTTTTCTTCAACTGAGGGAAATAAATTGCTCACAATTACTACCTTTTTCTGCTTTGTCATTAACAATTGTTTTACCTGTGTTAATGTGAATATTGTTACATAAGAAGCAAAGGAAAATACATTAAAATTCAAATTAAAACCAGTAATTTCTATCTTCAATAAATTATTGGCCATATTATGCTATGTTGTATAAAATATTTTATTTAGGATTTGCAATTTACACTGACTGAATGTTCATTTTGTCAGTGTTGTTATTTTTAGCCAGAGCTTTTTTAGTTCAACATTTCATATATATCTTCCTGTTTTGTCTTCCAGATTCCTGTCGCTGTAACACAGATAAGTTCAACCAACCACCCAGTGAAAGTGGGACTTTCAGATGCGTTTGTGGTTGTGCACAGGATCCAGCAAATTCCCAGTATGTAGAATTGTAATGGTGATAATGGTTTGGAGGCTTAGAAATTACTATAAGCTAATTTTATCAAGGATGATTAGCTGCACAACAAATCACTTAGCTAATTTCAGCTTGTTAATTCAAGTGTAATTTTATTTGCTTGATAATTCCCAGTATGGCTTTTTCTGTCATTGTTTCTTTTGAACTGATAAATTAAGTAAATAAAACTAAATGGTCAGTCAAATAATATCAAATTAAACTGTCAACCAGCACAATTTGGTATTCCATAAGATACTTTATTTGGAATATGTCTCCTTATTCATAGAGAAGAAGAATCACCCTGTTCAAAAAACCCATCTGTATCTAAAAGTATCCAGGCTGGAAGTTCTTGATACTTTATATACATTTTAGTGAGAGGAAAGAAGAGGAGATGTAGTTATTAGAAAACATCTTGGGCTCACATAGTCATGGCAACAGTATTGCAGGTGACATTTGATTTTCCCTGTCTTTCATTATACTTTATATGGCTTGGCTGAAAATGAATAGCAGGACATCAAGTGTGATTTCTTCAGTGCTTTGTTTTAACACAGTGTATACAGAACCCTTTGAGTTTGTTTAGCCTTTAGAGAATACGTTCATTTTTCGAGTCTGCTGGTTTTATTTACATATTTGGAAAAAAATTACTAAGTTCAGTTTTTAGTGATCCTCTAATAGCAGGGTGTAGATGGAAGCAGCTGTGCTTGAACTAGCCTCCTAGGAGGCACCCTGTGGTGCAGACAAAACTCACAGAGACTGACCTGATCCAGCCCATCTTTAAGACAGACTGCAGATGAGGCTGACAATGAAGTTAAAAGTACCATTGCCTCTCAGCTTATCCTATATCTTTATCACATAAACATATAAACAGTCTTTAACATGAGGGAGATTAAATCCTATATGTCTGGTCATGGGGAATATGGAAAATTTCAGTACCATCTGTTACTTGTTATGAGCTCAGAGTAGTGTAAATGAGGTTGGCATGCTCAGATTTCACTTAAGAGGTCAGAAATTTGTAATTGTGATGTGCCTATGGTTGGATGGATTGGTTTTGAGTGTTTAAGAACAAATGAATCTAGGCAATCGAATTCAGTAATGTGAGTGATGTTTGCAAGGGAATGATCTGAATATTTCTGAATCTTCAGCTTGTAAGAGCTCAAAAAATGGATTCAGGTGGAAACTAGGTTGATTGACTTATGCAAATGGTTTATGAGAACAGTCACAGAGAAATTCTATGTAAGAGATGCAAGCAGCATGCAGATCTTTTGACATCAGGCCTCCATAACCAAACACCACTAAAAAACCTTTTTTAGATTTACATATTTTGTATGGAAAACATATGGTATATGTGAGTCTTTATTCTAGTTTGAATGTTTCTTTCTGTAGCAATATTTTAGACACGCACCTTGTTTCACTGGCACTAAATAATGTTGGTTTTCATGAATGCAGAATTACTTACTAGTCTTCTGGTGTTAGTATTTTTGTAATTTTTTTTCTCACATGACACTTTCTGCCAAGTGAAATGAGAATATAGTGTGGGTAAGGAGTATAAAACATGCCACTGCTATAACTGTTTTGATAGCATTATTCATGTGTTACTGTTTGCAATGCAATGCTTTTCCCCCTAACTACCTCTAGCTTGCACTTCTGTGGATGGTGGTAATTCATGATTACTTTTGCTAGTTTGCAGTTTACACAAGAGCTAATATTAATCATGGGAACCCTCCTTTTACAGTAGATTTTCCTGAAGGCCAGTTGTGTTTTGCACGAAACAGGTTAATATTGATAGGTGTGGGCAATATAATAACACCTTGACAGAACTGGTAAATAATGTTGGTCCATAGAAAGCCAGTATCAGATGCCCTTAAAATATGCACATTCTTGAATTCTTGTTTTTCAGAGGTGTCAAATCAAATATGGCTAGTCAATTACTGAAAAAGTGATATGATGGAATTGTTATTTTACTTTATTTGTTAGCTCCTTAAGGCAATGGAAAAATATAAATTGCTGTCTGTCCCAAAAGAAGGCAAAGTATAGCTAGCTGCTCTAGGTTATCACTTTTGCAAAGATTTTGCCTTCAAAAGAACCCAGTCTCCCTTTATGTTCATGGCTAGTTATTAAAAAAAAAAAATAAAAAAAATAAAAAAATAAAAAAAAAAAAAAATAAATAAAAAAAAAACCACCATCGCATCCCCCAAACTCTGCTGTTTCGTGTTCGACCTTTGTCATTTGTATATTTGTTGGTTTTGTATATATTGTGCATTTGAAAAGGAAAGAGGCAGTAAGTGCAACATAAGCCAATTTGAACAAAAATATCCTCTCAGTTTTCAAAGATGCTGAATGTCTTTGGTGCAGTCTGTATGCTCAGCATACCAAAATTTCAGTATAACATTCCTAGTTTTATTGAAGTACTTTCAGAAGATTTAGAACTATTAATCAGACTTTTTTTCAGAGGTACTGTCCAAAACATTAGTAATAACTTTTTTAATTCTTCTGAAAGATGGGTTCAAAAGCCAGACAAACCTATTTCGTTCTAAGGAGAGGCAACCTTGCTTTTTGATCAGCCATTTCATTTCAAAAGTGCATTTTAATGAGTGCTGAAAAGTATCCTCTTGAAGAGTCAAGAGCAAAAAGGAAGGATTTTCTGAACTTTTTAAAATGGAGGACCTTGAGCATTTTATACCTATTTTTGTTAATATAGTCCTATATAAAGGCTTTGCAGTAATACCCCTTTCATCTACCCCTAAAAGAATACAGGCACCTACACTTTTGTACTTTATCTTTTAAAAGTTAGAGCATAGAGACAGGAGGCTTTTGGCAGGCAACTTTCTCCCTCTTTTCTTTTTGATAGTTTTCCTTGATCTGCTACTACTTCTTGCATATAGACAATGTCTTTACTTTCAAGCCTATATGTGGTACTACTATATTGTTGCAGATTGGCCATTATTTTATCTTTTAGATCTAGATCTAGATCTAGATCTAGATTTGCCTGTATATATTCTAGAGGTGTTTTGGAATGAATGGTAATGTGTGAAGGGAAGTAAATTTCTGTTTGACAGCAAGGTTAACCTGAAAAACCCTAAATTCAGAAATTTAAATGACAGCAAAAATGGCAAAGTAAGTATAATAATTAATTTCAGAGGAAAAGTTTTTTATTTTTCCAGGTAATTCAGTTGAAATCAGCCAGGCTCTGGACCTCTACTTCTGATTTGTAAGACAAGTTAGAGGGACCACCTTGATTTCTTCTTCAGACAGGTTGAACACTTGTACACTATTTTTCCTTTTGTAACAAAGACACCAAGAATATTTCTTGGATGTTTTCCAGTTAGACAACACATGATTGATGATGAAAAAGCTGGGAGATAGCTTTATGTGTTCCTCCAGCAAGTCTTCTCTCTATTTTTCAACATCTTCACTGCTTCAGGAGCCTTGTCCCTTTCCCATTGCAACCGCCTTCTCTTCCCTGTTCCCTTTTATTTCTTGTTTATTTCTCATCCATCACTGCCATTCTGTTCTTGGTCCTTCTTTCAGTTGCCTGTGGTGTTCTTTTCTCTCTCCTCTGCAGACTCCCAAGATCTCTCTCTAATTTCATGACCATCTTTCCCCCCTTCCATTTTTCTTTTTCTTCAGGGTTACTACGTTTCTGTCCTTTGTTTCAGTGCTCTCTCCCCTATTGTCTTTCAATTAGCTTTTAGTTGAGCAAGAAGAAGAAATAAAAAAGCATTTGCTGCAACCCACTTTTGCATTTTAGAAATAAAAAAGCCCACCAGTGAGCCTTCCCAGATTGTGCTTTGTTTTCCACTGGTAAAATGAGAGAGTGCCTGATTCAGAGGATCTACACAGTCTCGCACTTAGAGATAATGGCTAGTAGGTTTTTCTCCACAATGAGACATACTTCTCTGTGATCTTGGCCTATACCATATTAGATACAGCTTTTTTAGGAAATCCATACCTTGACAACTCAACATTTAATCACACTGAAATTATTCGACAACACTGTGTACAGAAACAGAATTGTAGCTATGTGTTATTAATATTCCAGTTTTGGTGCAATTAGTGTCACTCAATGTGTAGTGTACCTCAAGCATACAATTAAGTGACAACTCTGCATGTTATAACTATTTGCTGAAGATGTCTCTCCAGTTTGTTTACAGCAGTGAAGCCTCTGAAAGAACCTTGGCATTACCTTCCTGTAGGGTAAAAGATGACTAGCTGTTTATGTTTTGATGTCTATTGTATAAACTTGCAGCACCACTTGGGAAATCGCAGTCTAATTTGCTGCTGCCTTACTGGCAAAGTTGTCATTTATCCCTGTGTGAAGTGGGCCTCATAGTTATTGGTCTAAATTCTCAGTGTTTATTCATCCTTTCCACTAGAGTAACTAACCCCACAGAGCACCAACCCCTCCAGCCCTGCGTGCTTGTCTGCTGCTACAAAAGAGCTGCTGTTCCTTGCACTAGATGTGCAATTCAGGAGCAGTGGAGGAAAGAGATGGATGTGCTGCTGACCATCGGCAACATGATAGTGCTCAAAGTTTAAAATATTCTCATAAGCCACCACAGACCAGTCTCAGAGTGAGGCAGTTTGGTGCATAGTGGGTTAAGGGAGTAAAGCAAAGTTTTCACACCTAGATCCTGTACTAAGAGCTACTCAGCTGGCATTAGGAATTAAGGTAAATCTGAAAGGACATGGAGAGTTTCAAAGTAAATGATTTTTGGTAGACACAGAGCATTGGGACAGTATGTTTTTTTCTACATTGTTCATAAAGAAAATGTTTTCAGAACTGACTTCACTGGTTTGCTTGTTCACAGATCATATGTCTTTGACCTGTGGCTTCCAAGTTTGAAAGGATTTTTTTTGAGAATGATAAAACTTGTACAACTAGGGGATCTGAATTTTTATCTAAATTCAGATATGTGTAATAGTCAATGACCAAAAGCAATCATGATGGTGTTTGGATTACAGGCATGTCTGGTCCCAGTGTCAGCACCTCAAGAATTAGCTAGTTAATATTCATAGAATCATAGAATAAACGGGGTTGGAAAAGACCTCCGAGATCATCAAGTCCAACCCTTTAACTTTAGCAATACAAAGCTGTTAAAAACAAATCAGAATGTCATTCTGATTCCCCTGTCTTTTGTGGTGATGGCAATCAGACATACAAGGCTGGCAAAATATATATTTGCCTGAAGGTTTTATTCAGTCAGTGATGTTAAACAAGATTGCTGCCAAGCAAAGTCCATGGCTGTATAGCACAGCAGCTGTGCCCCACCCCTCTCTATGCCTTATATTTTTCACAAACTGCTTTCAGCTCACTGGATATGTCTCATAAATTGCTTACTTCAAATTGACTTCTAGATAATCAAATACACCCTCTTACCATTTGTGTTTTCTCTATCAGCAAAACTTAAAAGTGAAAGTGCAGTTGTGCAAATACATATGGCCTTGTTTAGCAGTTTTTTCTGTATCTATGGGCAATCCCAATTCCCTAGAAATCTTTCAAGCAAAGGTTTTTATTTGTACGAACATATAATTTAAAAACTCAGAATGACTTCTCCGGTATTTTCACATTCCACTGTATTGCAGGTTTTAGCTGAGGAATGGTGTATGAGGAAAAGTGATATGTAATAGAAAAGATAAGACATATATTTAGAATGTTTTTTTATGAGCTACTGAGCCTTCAGACATCTTAAGAAATCACTGGTGCTCTCCTGGTACTGATCCATCTCCAGAGCGCTCTCCCTATTTAGTACATTTAGTCAATTCTGGCAGTTCTCTTTTGTCGAATACTTATATGGCATCATTTAGTTTAATACTAAAATAAATCACATAGAAGTATTTTGTCACACCAGAATCTTACACATTTATAATTTACCAATCCATTGTCTAATCCCTTGAAAGGATTCTTTCAGCTGGCCTTCTGACCCACCACGTTATCTCTCTAGGTCACTGAGGAATGTTCTTACCTCAAGTAGCTGCTGTTTTCTTCAGATTTTTCTGCTGGGACTGTACCTTTGGCCTTGTGTTCAAAGATAGCACATGTACATGTCACAGAAACAAAACAAAGAACAGTTTAAATCATGCTATAAAAATTAAACCAAATATAAAAAAAATAGAATCTGTTATTGAAAAATATGAGTTATTCAGTTAAAAAGGTGTTTTTGAGAAACTCAGACATAGAAATGCAAAATGTTTTCTTGACTGGGAGAAAAATACATATTTTCTGTCACTCAGAACTGGGACTGGTACTTCAAAAGTATAAACACATGCAAAAAGTCCTTTTCCTTTCCTCCCTTCCCTGCCAGACCTTATGTAACACCTCTTTTCAGCAAAATACCTGTATATGATGCTTAAATATTTATCTATTACTGCATCAAATAGTTTCACTAGTTCTTGTCACGTTAAGGTGTATACTGGGCTACATGGGCTCATAAGCTCTTTGTGATTCTCCACTAGTGGGGTTTTTTTGTGAAAGAGCTAAATAGACAGCATAAGACAAGGGAAAAAAGGTTCCACCTGCGTTATAGGCAATGTGTGTCCTGGGTTGCAGCAGGAGTGTGTGAGGAGGTTGAGTGGAAAGCATCAGGGGAGAGCATTCATTTTTCTGTTTATACTGTTGAGTTTAGCTTTTTAACCCAGTTTTGTTAAGGGGATACAGGTTCAGAGTTCTAAATAGGAAAACTGCATTTTGAGGATCTAAGCATGGTATGTATAAGTCAAACTTTCAAGAGAATCTAGGCCTGCATGTTTTTACAGCCTGACCAGGCTGATAAATTCAAATGCTTGTGTTTCCAACAACCTGCCTGCAAATATATACAAAGCCGTTAGAAGGTGACTATGCAAATACCTCTCTGTACTTAGGTTTCTTACAGTAGATGGATGCCTCATATGCAAACTCACCACCTGTGGTTGACACAGTCGTCTTTCTGAAGAAAAAGATCAGACTTGAGTCTATCAGGCAGTGGGATTTAATGGGAGCAAGAGTCATGCTGAAATATGCATGATTAGAATTATTATTTTTGATAATACACTTAATTCTCTTAGTGTTTTTCAAAAATTTCATGTACTGGGTGAGGTAGAAGTACCTATGCCCTGAGTCACTGATTCTTACCGAATTTTTTGAAAGGTAGATTCCTGGTTTATTCCTCATTTATTGTAAGCCCTGTGAGGAGTCCATTAGGAAAGCTTCAGCATTAACAGGATTATAGCATACCAGTCTGTACCACTACTGATGAGAGGACCATTCCAAGTTCTGCTGACCTCCCTCACCACAGTCAAAGTTGCTGGCAAAGGACCCTGGTTTCACTATTCCAGAGTTAAAAGAGCTTCTGCTCCTAGGACAACTAGTCAAACAGAGACTGATGTGAATGAAGAAGATGTGGCTTAGACTATTTCTTCTGTATTTATTATCTGTACAGTTGGTAACCATGATTCAGGTTTGGAACTGAAAGTTACATGTGGCTCTAGTCCAAAAAGTATCTAATATTCTTCATAAAAATAACTTGGATTTGTACTCAAATGCCAAAAATTGATGACAAGAGTAGTCACTGGCCTTTAATTGGGATCTTGATGAATGAGACAAACTTTGTCAAAACCTACATCAGAAAATTGTAATTTTCTGTGTCAGACTGGTGGTATAGGCTGGATTTTTAATTTGCAAATATAGAAGATCACCAGTCTGCATTGCAACTGTGCACATAAAATCTAAGATATTCAAAATACGTTATAGGATATTGATCTGGGAAATAGCATGTGATTTTTTCATGCTTATCTTGTGCTTGGGTCTTACAGTCACCTGTGAGTTCAAAGCTCATAAGAACAGTGCGTTGACTATATTGAATTTCTTCTTTGCGAAACTCAGGTGCAGCCAGCTTGTGTAAAGATTATGCATAACATTGACTGTTTAGGAAAGCTTGTCTTGTCTTCTTTAAAACAATGTTATAATATGAAAAATATTCTGGTACATTTAGATGTGAGCCAGCTTGTAGCTAACAAATTTGATTAGGCAATGAAATCAGTTTTGTTTGCACATCTTGGCAAGAACTGACAAAGTGAGCATATAAAACATTTCTCTCAAGCCTGTAAGCTGAGAAATGTTTTAGCAAGCATCTGAAATACACCCTAAAATGTCTGACAGTATACTCTCTAGAATTTTTGCCTAAATCAATCACTAAGATGCTTGAGAGCACACTCAGCATTTTCATAATTCTTTGCCAGGAATAGGTACTTATCCTGACAGCTTTGAGGGTTTCTGAAGTGAAAAATTCTCTGTCTTTGCATGTTCTTTCATGGTGTCTAAAGTTAAAAATATATTCTTGGAGAAAATTGGTGCCCTGTGTGCCCCTAAGGAACAGTGTGCAGTCATTACACTCACTATTTTTCACCATCTAAAGAGTGCAAACTAGTAGAATATGATTTTTTTTCTTTCCTGGTAGATGTCCGAAGAAGAACAATTTATGAATACCACAGGGTGGAGCTACAGATGTCAAAGATTACCAATCTCTCAGCTGTTGAAATGATACCTCTTCCAAGTAAGTAAAGCATAACAAGCAGGAGCCAGATCTAGGAAGCACCTCCCTCTCCCTCCCAGCAACACAAACACAATTTTAAATATTTTGTTTTATCTGTGGATTTGGATTCATGAACATATTCATTTATCCTCTCTCAGATTCCCATATGGATTATGCATTTACAAAGTACATCCTCATTTATCTCAAGTTAGTTTATAGGTATGTAGCTCCCAGTAGATTCTGAATGAAATTTGTGCCAAATCATTTTTTCAAAAGAATGTTTATATTGCCTTTAAATTTGTTTCCTCAAGAAAAAAAAAAAAAAGAACAATTTTCATGCTTGCAAGGAAAACATAAATTCTTCTGTGCACTGTGCATCAGATCACAAATTAATATCCCCAAACATATTTTACAGTTCATCTCTCTCTTTTGTCCAAGGTAAAACTACATTGGTTAGAAATCTCTGAATTTAAAATGCCAGCTGTACTACTGTAAAAACAATAAAAAAGATCTATTTTTCTTACTTTTTAATCCAATTATAGTTCTTGCACACTTTTCCGCTGCACTTATCTGCTTATGTCTGAATGTAAGTAATACCAAGGAATGTTGGAACCAGGGAAAAAAGAGATTTAAGGAAATTCTTAATATTGAGCAAAAAAAAATTAAAAAATAACAATGAAGGTGAATGAACAGATGTGGAAGTGGTAATAAATTTACAAATGGAATACAAATGGAATCCTACAGATAAAATGTACTTTTGTGCATGTAGTTGTGCAATGCATTGTAAAAGGCTGGGTTCAGGGTCTTATTTTGGACATGGGTGAACCTGTTGAGTCCCTAAATATATATTATCAGAAGATATATTCTTCTTTTGTGATTTTTATGTGAATTATTTGTGATACTAATATAATAATTTGTGTTTGTTTATCTACATCCCAGCTTGTCTCCAGTTTACCAGCTGTGGTCCCTGTGTCACTGCCCAGATTGGTTTCAATTGCAGCTGGTGCAGTAAACTCCAAAGGTAAAGAAAAGGGGGTTTTTTTGTCGGGTTTTTTTTTTGCCTTGGCTATGCAGCTGGGCTCAAAGGATATCCAAAAGCATCACCTATAGGTTATTCAGCATAAAGAGTTCTTATATTTGGTTCTTTTATATATAAGCATTCACATGAACACAAACCTCAGTTGCAATCACTAGCAACATATCATTGTCCCATTTCACTTCAGCAATTAGGCAAGAATAATCAAAAAAGTTGTTTGGGGAGTTAAGCCCTTGTTCCTATTTCTTTAGTCATATTTAAAATCCCTATGAAGGAGAACAAGAAGAAGAAATCATAGCAAAATTCATATTTTCTCCCTATATCCCTGGCTTCATCAAAAATATTTTAACCACATGGAGATGCAGGGTGTTATGTAACTATGAAGACTTACTTTTCAACAGTAGGGAGAACAGCACACCCAAAGAGTCAGAGTATTTTTAGTTTTAACCTGTCATTATACTAAGAGGGGACTTTGGGTCTCCTCAGCCTCTCACTGCCACATTAATGAGGACAGTCAAGTCCATGGCAGGAGCGCTTTAGACTGTGAAGCAGCTGGAGCACAGCTGGCAAAATGGAAACTCTGCAGCTGTAGCTTCCCAAAAAATTCTTCACCCACTGACTTTCACTGACCTTCATAACAAGAATTTAACACATGTTCTCTGAAACAAAATGCAGTATCATGGTTATTTATTGTTGTTGTGTTATTCAACCCTAGTGATTAGGTTCAGAAATGCTATGTATAAAATGGATGCAAAATGAAATGACAAAAGGCTGTTAACATTCCAAAATAGTGCAATAATTTGACACCATGTTGAAAAACTGATAAATAGCTGATGAACATGGCACAGAATTAGGAAATTGGGGCCACTTTTATAATGTCTTCTTAAGCTTCAACTCCTGTAGTAAGTCACTTGAAAACTAACTCTGTTCCCCATTTATCTTGCAAAAAATATTTTAGTGGAATTAGAGCTAAGTGAAATCATGTAACAGAAGACATCAAATCAAATATCTTCAAGAGAAAGAATACTTTTAGAAAACTGTTCCAGGCAAGTATGAGCAGTTCACGATTGCTTTAGCTGATTCCTTGCTTTCAGCATTGCTTGATTTTCCTTCCATCAACAGATGTTGTAGCACTGAGTTTCTGTTGGCTTTGGTTTGAGCAAGGCCTGTTGTTTTGTGGCCAGTGTTCTTATTTCTGTTTGGATAAACTCAATTGTATTGTAAAGTTCTGACTCCTATGAAGAACAGGCAAACCTTGAGATCTTTTGTGGTTTTCTGTATTTTCTAAAGAACTGAGTTTCCTGAGTTCTGGAATTACTGGAAAATTTGTTTCACTTGCTGAGGCATAAATTCACTGTGGAGAACTAAGACAGTTTTATCCTTCACCTTTAGCAGGAGCAATACCAGGCATGTGGTCACACTGTGTTTCCTTCCACTTATTTCCACAAATTTGTGGCTGCCCCCTCACAACTGGCAAGGTGTAATTTACTACTGAAAAAATATAGAGTCTGAACACATCTATTCAAACAAATTTTTAATTAAGAAAATCTTACTTTTTGTTTTGCCTCTGAAGATCACACTGTGATCAAAAGATGAAACTACTGTGAGGTAGTCATGCACTGTTTCCAAAAACCAGCTGGCTTCATGCTGCAGCATGGTTGTGTCTTTCATGATTTGCAGCAGATAGACTGAACAGTTTTATTGCTATTAATTAGCCCATTACTGACAGTAGTGAGACTGTCACTTCATACAGTTTGTCTTTGAACATTGTTTGACTACCAGCAAAAGCAGGAACTAGAGAGGATTCCTTAAAAAGAGGATGGATCCAGAATAGCAAACTAAGAATGTGCCTCTGTATGGGAATTTCAGTAGTTTTAAAACAGTCATACCATCCAATTTGTGTCTATTAAGATGAACAATATTCAGTCAGTTTTTAGCAAATGGAGAATGGTGTGTAGAGTCATAAAATAGTTCAGAATAGAAGGATCCTCTAAAGGTCATCTAGACTAACCTCCCACGCAAAGCAGAGCCAACTGTGAGATCAGAGTGCTTTGTTCATGACTTTGTTCATCTGGGACTTGACCACTGAGGCTGTGGTCCAGTCCCCAGTACTTCTTAATCTTATACAAGATTTTACACCTTATTTTTTAACTTGTTATTTCCTCCAGAAACATGCCTTCTGAAATGAGCAGTTTATTTTAACTATTTCAGCTCTAGAGACAAACAGATCTAAAATACTAAGTGGTTACATATTTTGTGAAAAGAGGCAACCTGCTCTCCAAAATGTGAAGACTGAACATTTATTTAGTTACATTTGCAGGATTGTTGTGACGAGGACTCGTTCATTTCTCAGCTTTGAAAATTTTCTCCTCCTTTCTAGTTCTGGATTCTCTCTCTTACCTTCTAGTCTAGTGCTTCTCTTTTTTTAACTTGCTGTTTTTCAGTGTGTCTATTCATTTTAGGGAGATAAAAAAAATCTTATTCCATTCTCAGTGGAGATGTCTGGATCACAGGAGAATACTAAGAATCATTTGCTTCAGTACCACACTGTGGTTTTGTTCCCTTCAAAAATAAATTTGCTGTGTTAAAATGTTCTTTTTGCATCTGATTAAAAAGCATTTGCTCAACAAGAAAATCTAATACCCTAGTTAAAAATCATAAAGGATGAAAAGTTGTGAATTCCTTCACCATAATGCTCCACCTTTTTCTGTGTGTCACTGCTCTTCAATCACCATCCTTGTAAACCAACAGAGACTTTTATCTCCTGTTATGATATATGTTGCTCTGCTGCGGTAGAATAAAATGAGCTTGAAAAAACGAGGGCACAGCATTAAATGAAGTATTAATTTAGACATTTCTGAAGTGCCTGGAGTACAAAGATAATTAATATTTACTGTACACTTTCAAGTGGGTGCTCGTAGGGCTTTTTGAAGTGGGAGTAACTCTTCTCGGTTACAAAGCTGACTGGACATGCTGGTCCAGGAAGTGAGGAACCAAAACTATCTCTCTTGGTTGTAGGTAAAGCCCAGGGTGGGGAAGCCAATTAGCCTTTGCTGCAAAAGCCTGAAGAAGGCTTTGAACTGTCAGTGACTGGTTTTCAGAGTACCAATTATCTATCAACTGATCTAGTACTCAGATTTCTGCAGAGGGAGAATGCCTGCTTGGTAGTGTGGGGACTGAGGCAGTAATGAGGGTCAGATATGACTGGAACACGCAGTGATATTCCTTCTGTGGTGCTGCAGTAGTAGTTTGGTGCTCTCAAGTGAGATCTTCCAGAGCAGCCGGCCTTCTGTGTGGGTTACAAGCAAACACATACCCATTGAGAAACAAAACTCTATACTAATTCTACAAATCTTTTTTTCTCAGGAACTCATTATGCCATTTATCCAGCAACATTATTACATGGAACAACATTACTATCAGGAGCACCATCTTGGTTGTATTTTTTTCCTTGCATAAAATGTAATCCACATATTTAATCATTCACATAGCAAAGTACAGTTGTTCAGAAAAAAAAAATTATTTAAAACCTGTAACTGCACAAGAAAAATTGACCAGCACATTGATTGCAGAATAACTGTTCTCCCCCATGTGGGCAATCTGTTGGAATGAAAACAGCTTTATCCTGCAACAGTGGGTTGTTTCCTACCTGTAACTTCAGCCCAGCTGCTGTGCAAACTCTGCAATGGTTGGAGAGGCAGATTCACTTTGTATGTAATTCTGGGCACAATCCTCCATTCCTGCACTCTCTACAAGCTTAAATCACCGTTAGACTTTTCATAAGGGGTCATCAAAGTATCCCCTCTGAAATCCAACATGATGTGTGTCATACAATTTTATCACAACTAAAGCAAAGGCACATCATTTTCTTTTGACTTCAACAGATGAAGCATCCCACTAGGAGCTAATTTTTTTTTAACTATGTATATTTCATAATTGTTTTATAAGTAAAACTGTTCAAAAAGAGATCAACTACAAATATGGAACCTAAGATGGTATGTCTGCAACCCTGGATCTATGTCTGTAAAATGCCAGAAGTGCTTTAGCATCTGCCCCATAAGAGTCACCTGTGGCTGAAACTTGGATCATTTAGTCTTCGTTATCTCTGAATTCCTGACATGTAAAAATTGGGAGAATTCATTAATGTTAGATTTGTTTATATCATCTATTTATGCTTCTGAAAATGTCTGTATACTCTAGGCATTTGGTATAGCTTGCATTTTAGAGATATAATGTTCTAGGAAAGTATTTGGAAGCTTTAAGACAAACCTTGCTGTTATTTTATGGTTTCAGTTTGTAAAATTTGCTCACATATACTGAAATAGTGAGTTCCCTTGGAAATATTTGAAGTTAATTGTCCAATAAATATTTTCTAGATATTGATGGGTTTATTTTAATGAACTTCAGGAAAGTCTCAGATTTGAGCAGTGAAATGAAGCTGATATTTCAGTGCATTCAGAAATAAGCAGACAAAGAGCCCATTCTTGCAATCTGTGCAGGCTGGAGGCTCATGCTTTGAATGTCTCATGTTTTACTTCATTAATGCAGGATAAAAATATCTCCTGCTCCTTGCAACATCAACCAGTTTTGGTGTGGTGCCTATACTCAAATTTTTAATCCTCAAACCTGTCTGCCTTATGTCAAGAGCACCCAAAACCCTAATAGCTAGATCTACAAGGAGGTTCTTTTGGCAGACTTACTTAGGTTTTCAAGGGAAATTATGCAGAATAAGAGAGCATCTTTTCACCAAAATCTGGACTTAAGAATCTAAGACCAAAAAGGTCTCTAAGGTTCAAACATTTTGTCTGAGGAAAGATCTTCAGCTGAGTCTAAGCAGAACTCAGCAGTGAAATCCAGGTCCCATGAAGTTCCTTTACTCATTAGGGTTGACACTGCCCTTTACACAAAAGTCTCTCAGTGATCAGAGAACCCCCAGAGGCATAGGAGGTAGGTGAACATGGATCCTCTGAAAACAAGTCACCCCT